ACTAACTTAAAAAGATGTAGCGTGTGTGCAAAAAAATATAAGCGAATAATGTTTTTCAAAATATCCGGTATGATCTGCTTAATTATTCGTTGCATACCGCATTGCATATAATGTAATATATGTGTGTACTATAAAGAGCCGGAGCATCAAAGTGACGAGCTTTCATTTGGCAACACCAAAATAATTAACCAAGTACAGTAATGATGAAACCTTTGTCATCTGTTTCAGAATTTCATATTTGCCAGGAAAACAAAATTGCGTCAACCGTAATTAGTAAAACAAAGGGTAGTGAATTATTATCTTTGCTAAAAAAAATTTATTGTTAGTAAACTATAATGTTGATCGCATAATAGAAATTACACATAAGCCATACGTCTCGCAACAATTAATTTTTATGTACAAAGTAAACTTTTTGTAGATAAATATATTAAATGTTAATTTACGTGTATACAATACATATTGTAAGAGCGATAGTATGGTGTATGATATATGTTATATGTACATACCGATGTATCATCAATTTCATGAAAAATCACAAAATGTTATTATATATTATTTATTGTATATTAATGTTTTTGTATATCAATGAAACTGATAATATGATATATAATAATTTATGATGAAACTGCATTTTAGTTACATAATTGCATAATTATGTCCAACAACGTGACTCGACATTGCATCAAGGTATAATTCTTGTTAATCACAATGGATTTTCGCACTATCACGATTTATATGCCGTACTTAAACTTTGCTCCATATTTGTATGCACATACGAGTATAAAGAATTTATTCAAATAAAATTAACGTAAAGATATGTACAAGCTTTTTTATAAAACATTTTATAAGTATAACGTCTGTATACGCGTACGTGCGTGTGCGTGCGTGCGTGACAACAAATTGATAATCGCATTATCAAAAATCTTTTGCCAAATGTAGTTTAAATGTGAAGCAGAAACGTCTATTGGATGATCATTTAAATAAATCGTTAAAAAAGAGTAATTTGATCGATATAATGACATATTTATAATTACATTTATGAATTTGTTTTACAAACCTGATAATTTGTTTAAATAATATTACACAAATTTGAACAACTTCATAATTCTATCTAAAATTGTAAATAATATAATATGAGGTGAAGTAAATAAATATATAATTGTTTATTTCTAAAGAATAAAATAATATCTAAAATATACATAACAAAATCCCTGTATCTCATATAATTTTTAATGTATAATTATTTAAAATTTTATACTTGTTATCAGAGAAATATAATAATATATTAAAAACTGTTTAGTAATTTTGAGAATTTCATATTTTTCGTTAGACCAACAATTCTCAATTCTTTAAAGGATGGAATGGAAATTTTATCATTCAAATTTTTTTCACATTCTAATTTACTAACAACAGTTTACAAAATAAAATATATATTATGCTCCTCTCTTGATTTAATATATCATTTCGTAGATTATATAATAGATAACAAGGTGTCTTAGAGCAAATTTCTTTATGCAACAAGTAAGTTATTATTAGATAATAGCTCAATTTTCTCTAACAATAAATAAAAAAGGAATATTCCTAATTTAGATTCAACATAGAATAAGACGAAGAAACAGAAAAGATAGGGTAGCTGCGAAACGTTTAATTACTCTGATTCATTTGAGTGTGAAACAGCCATTAATGATTCCTTCGTTACAATGAGCTTTGAGATGTGTTGCTATATATGTATACCAAAGCTTAAAGAACAAAAAAGTATTTTAGCTCTTACTTTGAATATTATTGTATTCAGTCTCTAGAAATCAACATTAAAGTTCAATAAATCTTATTACAACCTAACAACATGTATTTTTTAATGTATAATAATTCTCAATAAAAATTTTAAATTAAATCTTTTGACAGAAAAATTTGTATACATATATAATAACCATCATTTATCGCAACTTTCTCGACAATTCTTTGATATTAAATACCATGACAATTAGACACCAGATTAAAACATCGTTGAAGCAACATCCACTTGAAATTTATTAAAAAATAGAATATTGTTACTCATTTAAATTTTCGAAACTTAATTTGTTTAAAGTTTAAATCCTTTAATTTTCCTCATAACTTAAAATTAAAAATATTTATTATCTTTCTCGCTTAATAAAAATATATTTTAAAAAATTGTTTTTCATATCTATGTTCGAGCAGAATTAAAATTAATTATTAAAGTTAATTATTATTCTATAAATTTACAAAATTAAATATCACTTTTTTAAAAATACACAAAAAAGTAATTAAAAATTAAAATTTTTATATTATTCTAAAAAAATTTGTTTATTGTTTTAAATAAAATATTATTCATATCATAGTATTAAGCATTTAAAAAAATTAAAAAGTTAAACAATATTTTTTAAAATCATTGTAATAAAGTAGCATGATTGTGGCATTGTTTCATGTAATGTTTGCTCGCGAAAAGTAGTAGTTTTTGATATAATAGTGTATAATTG